GTCCATCCGTGCTCCGCGACGATCGAGGGGGGTGGACCGGAAACGTCTAGTACACCCAACACCCCGGGCGCATTGGGAGTTTTTGCAGTGAATCGCCCGAACAGCCGCTCCCCATGAACAGTTGTCTGCAACGCCTCATGAGTCGCGTATGGAAATCAACGGTCGGGCGACATACGCCTGATAGTTTCCGCACATATTGCGTCTTGTTGTCTTCTTTCCTGTTCCTTTCGACCTCATCACGCTGTTGTAATCCTCGAGGCGGTCGCTGAAGTCGAGACATGGATGTTGCGCGGAGATGCGGAGTGAAGGGTGCCGGGATACAAGGATGACTGTATCAAGGCACAAGGAAGAGGGTACTCCGGCGCACCGCACCTCCCGCTTAACAGGGCGGCACAGGCCGAGACTTACAGACCGCATGAGCGAACAGCATCGCCGACCTCCATTCTACACGATATCGCCTCGAGAAGTGCTGTCACTGCTAGAGACAGCACAGACAGATAGGGGGACGTCTATGAGAATCGCGAGGACTGCGCAATCCGACTAGGCGAGGCACTGAGAGCGCAAGGTTTAATTTGGGAGCCCGGAGTCGGGTGCCACGGCCGCGCATGACAGGGAACGAAATGCGATGCTCAGCCCAGGCGAGAGGCGGCGCCACAAGATACCGTACGCCTGGCACGAGCGGTGCACATTCCATCGGAAGTCCAAGACGAATGACAGTAGCGGCCAGAGCGTATGAAAAGCACAGCCAGTTGAGCTACCACTTGCGCACGAAGAACACATCTGATTATATGGGCCATTTCATTTACCTGTCCACGCACTTAGGGACACCAGCTCAGTCTCCATCCATGACAAAGGTCAAGATGACAGGACGGAGAGCGTACCAGGAGCTCTGACGGCTCGGTGGGACCACAATGTCCGCTTATATATCCTGATTGCTGCAGCGTCAGATACGCTGTGCGCAGGATGGAAGTCGGCTCCCAGCACCGGAGTACAAGGTCTCCATGACGCGTTAGGCAGGTCACAGCAGTGCCTCCATAGAGTAATATAACTGAAGAAAGACAAACGGAATCGGTGTCAAATGAAGAAGTATAGCCGGGACGAATACACGCGTACGCGCCTGGTGTCGTCCTCATTTGGGAGGATTGTGGAATTGACCTGTCAGTCACTGCTTCTTGTTCATTGTTATCAGCATAGCGATGTACAAGGTCGTGACACAAACGAGAACAATAAAATGTACGCGGTTGCCAGTGTCAAGCGGCAGTAACCAGTCGGAAGACAACAGCGACCTCGTTTGTCCCGGACTGAATTGATCGTCTTGCTTTGACGCACGCGATACCCCCTGGAGAGAGGGAGCCTATTACTCGATATTTTCTTCAACGCACAGAAAGTGAGATGTCTTGAAGTGAGAATGCAGCTGTCCGAGGGTCGAAAAGATAGCGTTGTGGTCCGTCATGGAAGGTCTCCCCGCAGTTTCCCTTCGATCACGTGTGCGAGCGTTACACGTCCACAAAGCCAAGCAGCGCCAAACACACTTGGCCTGTCCATGCGATGGCAACTCGTCGGGATCGACTGTGCTACGTTCTAGCGGTCATACAGTCTTTTTGTTGACAGATGATGACGCCACACACCTGAGCCATAGTTTCTGCTGCTCATGTACTCGTAAAATGTGTATGTTGTGCTTCGTAGCTTGTCGCAGTTTGCAGAGTGTCTACCATGCGGGAGGCAATGTGACATTAAGTGGAAAAGTACAGCGTTGTCTACTCCTTCTCGCGATTCTCAAGCAAAAGGAGCTGCTTCTTATCATGGAGCATTCAAGCTGCGTGTGTGCATGGATGGTGAGAATACTTGACGCAACGGCAGGGCTAGAGCACGCGTCGTCGGACTATAACAAATAGGACGAGGACCTCAGTGCGTGCTCGGATACGATGCAAGACTTGTATTTATGCATACCTATAACAAATAGGACGAGGACTACAATGTACGTGAGTATGTGTAAACGAGAACAGAACAAGCTAAGTACTCACCCTCAGTGCGTGCTCGGATACGATGCAAGACTGAGGGTGCGGTCGCAAATGCGAGCGTATAAGACGGCGAGCAGAAACGACAGGCACAAGGTACGTGACAGGTACTATCGGTGCGCACTGATGCTGCGCATGCATGCGCATGGCGGGATGAGTGCCAAGAAGGGGCAGCGCATCAGCGCGTAAATAGCGTAAGGTAAAACAGGGCGATACGGAACGGTATAGTAGCCGGAGAGCCGGCGCGAGAGCGTACGTATGGATTATCTGCT